GCTAGTACCTGTTTTTCCTCTTCATTCCCACCAACATAGCAGATGATTTGTTGGTGGAATAAAATGAAAAACAGGCTCGGAGTCAGTCCCAGGCAGCTCTATTCGTCTTCTCTCTGCGACACTATCGTAGCGATCTTCCCGTCTTTGTTTGTCGCGATCCACCGCAGCAGATTGGAGAGTCGCGTCTCTGCACGCATGCGCCACTCAAAAAACCTCTTTATAATATTGACGAATAAATCCTAAAAAATTCATCTATTTACAAATAAAACGAATCCCAACAAATTTTTTATTTTAATAATAAATAAAATATTTATTAGCACATCCAAGTTAGGTTAGGTTTCATCAACCATGCTCATTTGGGCAACTAATTCAAGTACCCAAGGCCACAAATTAATTCCATCAAGGGGTACTCGGAAGTCCACACTAAAGTTTATTTCAAAATCACATATAAAACAACATCAAGGCCTAATCTACAAGGTCAACATTAATCTTGTTATGATGACTCTAAATTACGTGAACTAAGACGAAGCCGCAGTTTATAAGAAGGTTTAAATAACTAAAGGAGAGAACAATCATTTAGATATGACAAATGTTTAACCTATCATCTTGTATGAGTCATTGTCTATATATATGTAATGATATATATAAGTTGAGAGGATTAAGGGAGAGAAAAATTCTTAGAACAAGGTGAGGAACAAAGAAAGCTTGTATCGAGATCAAGAACGATATAAAACTAGAGGAGATTGGTTCGTCCTTGAAATTGTGCAGTGTAATCTTCAAGATTGTTTTAGTGAATTGTTTATTGTTTCTCTCTCGTGTATGTAGGTCTTATGAACCGAACGACGTAAGTTTTTGGTGTTCTTGTTTGCATTTTCTTTGCAGTTTTCCTTTTCCTGTTTTGTTGCCCTGCGGTTCTCTAGGCAGTAGATTTTGTTACAATTGTCGTCATCTGTGAGAATTCCAACCACAACAATGGGATCTACTAAGTTCAACATCAAGAAATTCACCGGAAAGAATTATTTCGGCTTGTGGAGGGATCCCCTTTTATGGAGATCTGTAATTGAGAGTCAAGGTGAAGAATTGTTATAATGACTCTCAATTATGTGAACTAATAAGACGTTGTAATTATAAGGAGGTTTTCTATAGCTAATGGGTACAACAATCATTTGACTATGACAAATGTTTAACCGGTTATCTTGTATGAGTCATTGTCTATATATATGTAATGATGTATATGAGTTGAAGCGTTAAGAGGGAGAAAAACTCTGAGAGCAAGATGAAGAATCAAGAAAACTTATATCGAGATCAATATCGATAGAGAGCTAGAGGAGATTGGTTCGTCCTTGAAATTGTGTGGTTTAATCTTCAAGATTGTCTTAGTAAATTGTTTCTTGATTTCTCCCATGGATGTAGGTCTTATGGAATGAAGCACATAAATTCTCGGTGTTCTTGTTTTCATTTTCTTTGAAGTTTTTCTTTTCTCCTTTTTCTTGTTTGCAGTTCTCTTGACAGCAGATTCTGCTACAAGTCTCTTGAAATACAAAGGGTGGCTTGTGGTAGCATGAGAATCTGGTTCTTTAAATTCCGTTAAGGTTTTCCACATATTTCGGTAATTTACAAAGATCAATTATTTCTATTAGTTATTAATAAGATATGCATTAGAATATTGTCTTGGTGAACCCTAAAATATTGCGCAAAAGATATTCTACCATCAATTTTATTTAAATAAAAAGTTAACTAATAAGTCTTAATTGAATTGAAGTTTCCTCAACCTATTGTCACCACCTCTTTTATCATGGAGAAAATACAACAAACCTTTTAACAGGACGGCAACTATCTACTCAACAAAACTCGCGTCCTAACCCTATTCATTTTTATCAAATTCATAATGATTTGATCATGACACTCATAAATGCGTCGGTTTTATAGTTCAAAAAATCACCTAAACTCTTGATTTATAAATAAAAATATTTCTTGTGCTTTATATATATCCCATTAAAAGTTTGAAATCACAAATGAAGAGCTGCTCACTTATTTTTAATGTCTGCTTCTCTTCGTCCTAGTCTCGGAGTATCCACAGTCAAAAGAATGGCCTTGAATCCGCAGCTCTCGGCTCTTTGTACAACCTTTGCTGAAACATATCTCTGCTTATATACCTATTAATAACGAAAACAAAAGGCTAACAAACTAATGAGAAAAACTAAAGCATTGCAACATTAATAATGCACATAACCAGAAAGGTGCCATGAAATACTGCATACATATAGCTGAAGAAAACGGACAGCATTGCAGCTGGAAGCAACCTCTTCGATAGTGCAGCTAGATGCAAATGACAAAACCTGAACAATGGCGCAATTAAATGAAAATGATAGCAACTAAACCAAAAAAAAAAAAAGAGAAACAAAAATCATCTTCTGCATATTTGAGGTTTGAGGGTTGAGACCAATATCTCAAAAACATGGAACTTGCCATTATTGTATTGCATGCTGCAGCGGCTCTAGCCGTTGCCACCTCTCCTGATTTTGAAAAGAAAAGAATTGCAGCAATAAAACACAAACTGTGTGGCATATTTTCATATAAGTCGTAGAACAAAACCTTCAAGATGTGCGAACTTTTGTCCTCCGGTGGGGGCAACAAGTATGGGAGCAGATAACTTGAATCCGAGCAAAGATGTTGACATATTTATACTACTCACATTTATGAGAACCCTTGGATTTAACCTGAGGACAATTACAAGAGATTGAAGCAAAAAAAAATTTTGCAAAAATAAATGTGGAGTGATAGTAGAATATAGCTTTACCTAATTCTTTGAAATGCTTCAACATTCTCTCTCAATGTGAATTCATCCTCGGCTCCTCCCCGAAAGTAATCATAGTACATTTTTGGCAAGGCTTGTCTAGCAAGGTCTTCAAATTCCTTAACAATTGTGAGATTGTTTTCCATATTTCCTGCACAAACTAGCAAGTGATGTTTCCAGCTAGTACATAAATATTAGAAATATTCTAAATAAGAATGGGGCTGACTACAATTGAAGAAATCTGAAACAGAGAAAAAAAGAAACAAATGCACTAAACAAAAATTAACAAGTTGATAGCAGTAAGCTTTGATTAGCTCAAAATCCTTAACTAATCCATAAATTTGACTACTGGTAATTCAGAAGCTGTATGGCAACGGATTTAAGTAGCATTTAACTTAAATTTTATTAGTAAATCTAGTTTCGTCTCAATTTCTTCTTAGTATTGCCTTAAATTCCGAATTTACTGAATTATGTTGTTGACAGAGAAATCTGGATTTATTAGATTTACTAATCCTGTTAAAGCCCTTACTTTTAATAAGATTTAGCCATGGATTTAACTTAAATACAACCAAACACCAAAAAAATTGAAAATTAAATTCAATGCTCCATTAAATGAAAATTTTTCGTGGAATGCTCTAAATCTCGAGAAATATTTACCTACAGAAAACGTACGCAATTAGGTTATTGGGAGGGTACAGATAGGTTACACTTAGGTTACAGGAAAAATTACAAAGGGGTATAACTTAAGTGTAACCTAATTATACCCTCCGAATAACCTAAAATGTATGCAACTCTGCGTACGTTTTCCGTACCCGTACGCAAATATTTTCTCCTAAATCTCGTGGTCCATCTCTTTCGCAACATAAATCTAGATTTAATGAATCTGATTGAGAGGCGGTAAAGTCTCCGTCAACACAACGATCGGATTTATTGAATTTGATTAATCCAATTTACCCTAAATACATGGTACCAACTTGCTAATTAAGCCCACCATCTTTGATTAGCACCGGAATCACCATAAACTAAATTCCCTCAAGCAGCTAAAATTCCTCCAGTTCTGATATCCCCAAACTAAGTATAATCTCAATCTCCAGCTAATAAAGCAAATACATCTAAGCCTGTAAATGCGATTTTCCTCTAAAAGCCAACACGATCCCTACCAAACTACAATCAAATATGGCTCAAGAATTGGCTTTCAAGTATCCCTAACAGTGAAAACTTCAAAAAACAGCTTCGTTTAGGGTTTTCAAGATAAGGGCTGACTTCAACACTGACCAAAACCAGTACTTCTGAAATAAATCCTCCGGTTTACATCAAAACCTAACACTGATCAAAACCGCTTCTTCTGAAATTGATCTGCCAATTTACATCAAAACCACTAGTTTCAAAACTTAAATTTTAATCTATTAATAATAATAATAATAAGCTGGGTTCCATGGCCACTGTGTTGAGGCTCTGAAGCTATGCGTGCACTGAGTTTTCTTATAAAGAAATCCGAAGAAAAGAATACAATAACAAAACGAGAACACAAAGAAATGCTCATCTGAAGAGAGAATGTAGCAGAAAAAAAGATTGCGTGAAGCGAATCATACCCACGGTTACGACTGAGCAGGACTGAGAGGAAAGAAGGGAAAGAAGCCCACTGGTATGGTAGATTTTACTTCGGATAAGTGCAGTCCACAATTATTTATAGTTTTTCTTTTTTCCTTAAAAAATTTTCAAAAAAATGTTTGGGGATTTACGTATATACCCAGCTAACTCTCACCCATTTATATATTTACAAATAATTCTCACACAACTTCAATCACAAAGCATTACGTGTTTGGTCTGGCTCGATTAACTACCAAAAAAAACTACATAATTTAATGCACGACAGGATCAGGCTGTACACTTGTGTCATTGTGATTGGAATTTTAATGCAATTTTATACCACAACTCTTGTTATAATATTTTTTTTTATGTGCATGTGAAAATTGAAGTGTAGCTGATTGGTTTGTAAATACATAATAATTAAGTTGTATGGATGTAAATCCTTCAAAAAAAAATAACTTATGATAAAATTTTCTAACTTCTATAATTGAAAGGAATGAATTTTATATATCTAAACTAACATTTAAATCATTTGTTATGCTGCGTTTCCATGATATATTCAAATAATATCAATTGTGTCAAGAAACTATGCACAAATATGAGTTTATTAATAACTTAGGATTAAGACTTTTTTGTCTGTGATAATCAACGTGATGAATATTTGATTCGCTCCTATGTATTCATATTATATGTAAAAAAGTACTTCAATTTTTTAATATATAAAAAGCTAAAATATTCATTAAAAGTTTATTTTTTAAAAGCAAAAATAAAAAGTCAAAAGGAACAAAAAAAAATTTCCTTATTGGAGGGGGTGTTTTAGGAATTTATATTATATTTTCATCTGGTGTGCGCTTCTATTTTATTGAACGCCAAGGGATTGCGGGCACGTGCTCCTTTGATGTTAAAATATGAAAAAGATTAATGGTTATATTTAATTTAGAAAAAAAATGGAAGTTTACATTCGTAGCACGTAGGGCTGTCAAAACGGCTCGTTGTTCGTGAACAGTTCGTGTTCGGCTCGTTAAGAAGCTCGTGTTCGGCTTGTTCGCTAAGTTAACTAACGAGCCAACCACGAAGAACTATTTGTCTGTTTGTGTTCGGCTCGTTTTGGCTCGAAATACTACTAATCAATTATATGTATCTTTGATGAGTAATTCTTTTAAAAATTTTAATTGACTATAAGGCTACAAAGATTTATAATTAATTAAAAGTATTAATGCAGAAAATAGAATAAAAATTATTAAATTAGATTCAAATGATGTTTTAACTCTTGCCCCAATCCTTAACATCTTATGGCTATGTGATTAGTGTTGTTAAAACAACTCTTTGTTCGTGAAAGGCTTGTGTTCAGCTCGCTAAGCAGACGAGTCGAACACAAACACACTTTTTGAGCTCGAAATATATATGAGCCGAACACGAGTTCGGCTCGTTTACACCTCTAGTAGCACACAATTCTTATGTATTTTCATATATAACATCTAAACTCCATATTTACAAATTAAACTTTTTCTTTTCCTTAATATTTACATATAAAACTTATGCATGAAAAAGTGCAAAAACAATTACAATAGTGCTATTTTTTATGTGATACTAAACATTTGAGTGCTATGCATGTAAATACGAAAGTTTAGGTGGAGATATATAACTAAATAAGAATTTGCTTGTTTTTTTAATGTTTTATTATATTTCTCCTTTTGAAATGACTTTTGGATGATTTCTTTTGGGTAATTAAAAGCAATATTACTCTAATCACATTCATATATTTTATACATTATATGACTCGTGTAATTTTGGAATTATCCTCTCATGCATCAAGGGACATTTACATACATTCCACACAATTCTTATATATTTACATATCTAACACCTAAACTTTGATATTTACATATATACTACTAAAATTTTTAATATCACCTCAAAAATACCATTATTACTAACATCTAAAACTACAAACTTTTAAAAGTGAAATATATTTTGTCATGTAAAGGTTTATACACCAAAATGTTATGAATGAAAATATCAAATTTTAGGTATTAGATATAAAACCACATAAGAATTGTGTGGTATGCATGTATTTTTTGGAATTTGATTTGCATTTAACACAATCGCACCATTAAAATAGAAGTAGAAAGCAAAACCTGAACCATCAATCATATAATAACTATACAAATGAAATGAAAAATTTACACCAAACCATCATAAAAGTTGCTCCAAATAATAACAGTTATCAACCAGAACTAGAAATTACAAAAAAAAAGCTTCAGCCAGAAGTAGTTCTGCTCTCGAGTGCAGAAGCAGCTGATTCGACTTGTCCAAGCAAGCAAGAATACAACTTCAGCTTCAACCTTTCAATCGTTGACAGTACTTCATCATCCTCAATCCCATCCTCACTAAGTAGCTCATCAAGCCAATCATTCACTTGTTTTAGCTGTGATAAAGTCACTGCAATCTTGTCCTCAGATTCCTTGCTAATCCCAGCAACTCTTTCCTTCGTACCTTTCTTCGGACGAGAACCGGAACGAAAACCAGCTTCGAGGGCAACATCTAAGAACCTGAGAAACCATGACTTCGACTCTTTTAGGAGAGTGGCCCTCACAGTCTGGATCTCCTTTAAGCCATCAACTCTTGCCCATTCTAGCTTTTCATTTTCGTAAGGTTCTTCGGAGAGATTGGAAGGAGTTAGTGTATTTGATGTTTCAGATGGTGAAAACTTTTTGTTTGGATTATCTTGACATGGAATTGTCGCTTTGGTGATCTGAGAGGGGATATGTTCCATTTGGATGGTTGTGTTTGGCGTACTAATGAGCTGGTATAATGTGAAGAACTTATTTAGAGAAACATGGTGATTTTCGCGTGGAGAAGCCTTGCGAAGATCAGCAAAAATGCTGGAAAATGGAAGAGAAACAAATCACAAAGAAGTACAGCCTAAAAACAAGCACTACAAATTGTTCTATTGAATATATAAAAACAAGAACTTTTCGTTTTAAAAGGAAATTTAAAAACTTAGTTAAATTAACTCATCAGCTAACTTAATTTTGTTAGCAAGTTGATTCACATGGTAAACAATAAAGCTTGGGGAATATAAGACTGACCTGAGACCCTTGACGAGATCAGCAGCTGCAGCTGCTTCTCTTTGAGCCTCAGCAGCAATCAGAAAAGCCAGATTTTTCCTCTTTATCATTCGCTGTTAAAAAGTAAAAACAGTTTGATAAGGAAAGAATTTCAAGATCAAAATTAAAGAACTCCTAAAATTTGAAGGATTTTTAGCTTGGATTATGCTAGAGATGCGAATAAGTTTTATATTTCTACCATGAATAAATGTAAAAATCATGATTTACATGGAAAAACATCATGTGTTCTGTATACATGCATATAAAGTTCAAAACATGTAAAAATTTAAGCTAATTTCAAGCCAAATCTACTCCTTGAGTTGACCTCGAGTAGGACAAATTATATTCGAGCTGATCTAACTAACTCTTTGATGAACTAATGGGACCAGTTTGAGACCACAAAAATTCTTAGCACTATCTTTAACGAACTTCAAATCATGCCAAACTATCCAGGAAGCAATCCAACCTATCAGCTCACATGCAAAAGGTGCACAAAATCATGTAAAACCCCAAATTAAAACTGTCTGATTTAAAAATATGACCTAAGAAAATAATATTTCAGAAGCTAAATTGTTAAAAAAATGTAATCATTATCATATTCACAATAACAATATCGAGTATGCCACGAAATCTGTTAGAATATGTAATCCAAATTAAGTTTTGCTTGGATCTAAGAATTTGCAATGCAACGAACGCAACTAACGAACCAGCTAAATAAAAAAGGCGGCAAAAATTTTAGGGGGATTTATGGGTGTGGCAAGACAAGGCTATCCGTTTGATATCGGAGCCCAACATTGATCCTGTAGAATTGCAAGAGCAGTAGGTCTCACGGTATGGACCCATATTATTATTTATCTATTTATTTTTTCACACATTATTTCCCATCTAGAATTTTCTATATAAATCTGTATGTTATTCTCTTCGCTTCTTTTATCGTTAATCTCATCAATTTCTTAACAAATTCTATAAATTCTTCTCTCTTCCTGTTTTCTGATAGTTCTCAAAACCAATGAGCTCTCTCCACTGTAGCTTCAAACTAAGAAAAGCAATATCTGTGCAGACCATGCAGCCTTACAGGTTATTTCAAGAATTACTGAAAAAATTAGAGATTTCTTCCATGCCTAAGCAAAGGTACTATGACTAGCAATATGAATGCTTGCTGAAAGTGCTGATCAAACATTAACAATTTAACTTAGAAAATTCAGAAAAAAATACAGCATGAATACCTTTGCAGGTTTGATGAGGCTGGACGGAAGGAAATCCAAAGGGTTTGCATTAACAATCCTCTTTTTAACATCAACGCCAGAAGAATGCTGAGAGTCGGAGCGAGACAACTTCTTAACAGG